TCGGTTGTTTACTTTGGCCATGCAAAAGCTCTTTAGTTTAATTAGGCCCCAGCTGTTTATCTTTGGTTTTTACTGCATTTCTTAGCCACTGTTAATTTGGGTCTCTTACATGCAGCTGACTCCTTATTCTAACCAATCTAACAATTTAAGAACTAATAAATGGTAGCAGGAATGATACAAAATGAGCTTACCACTGGTAGATAATGACCAGGTCCCAGAGGAAATTAAGGTGCTTTAATTAGTTGGGTGGGCAATATAAGAAAATATCAGTGTAGCCATCTATTATACAGAAGGATATGCCATAAATAGTAATAGAATTTAAAAAGTGTATTGCTTATCTGGACTTTAATATTTACCATCTGGAAACCACATCTCCAACCCTTGTTGTGTAACATTAGGATATTCATTAGATAACCTATTCTTCAAACAGGTGAGCAGCTGTGAATATGCTAAAAAGCTATCAGTGTTGCTAGTTTCACATTACTTATTATAAACCACCCATTTATGTGAAATGGAAATAAAAACATGCAGAAATTCCCTTGGATCTGAGAGTAGGGTTTCCCCTAGCACAATCAATTTTGTGGTTAATTTGGTTAGGTCAGCTAAGATGCTAGCCAATCAGAGGTTAGGAGAGAAATGAATTTCCTAAATAAATATGATGCCCAAAATGTGTTATCTAAAGAATTTATCAGGCTCAAAGTCTGGTCCAGGAGTGACTTAGAACTCCATTCTATCACTATGAAGAAAAGTGGTGTTCTTTTCGTCTTAGGCTTCATCTTGCTGGCTCTGATTGGAGTTCAAGGTAAGAGGTTCTGAGTTAGGTTGTAAAGAGAAGTGATTTACTGTAAAAGAATCTTGATTAGCCAGATAAAGTCGAATGTTCCGCCTGCATTGAAGAGTAATATTTGGTCACTTATAAAAGCTTCTCAGTGACATGATCAGTTATCCAAAGTTCATAACTTAGATCTGCCAAGTCAAACACAACTCTTTATAATTTAGGTGTATGAATTCCTAGTAAGTGTTGAGTAAATGTTCATCGAACTGGGTGATAATGGGATGAAACTCTGTCGCCTAAATTATTTTCTTCTCCCTGATACTGTTTTTTGATAAGTATGTCTGTGGATAACCAGTTAAGGATCCAACCAACAATCAGAGAGGTTGTCCCTATTCTATTTACTATCTTTGTTACCTTGGGCAAATTACTTAATCTTTCTAGACCTCAATTTCCTCATCATCTGTAAAATAGAACTTTGTAGTTATACCTTTTCTGACTACTATATAATCTATGGCATTTAGTATAGTAAGTACCAAGTAAATATATGAATTTAAAAATTAAGATAATGTATTTTAAGGGGTTTTCAAAAATTTAAAACACTATTGAAAAGCAAGGCAGTGGGGAGGAGAAAAGATGAGGAGGGAGGTGGTGATTGGTTACAAAGGAGTGCTTTCTGTTCAACACCAACACCAGTTTCATTCCCTAAGGTCAGAAAATAAATAATAAATGGCTTTAGGAGGTGCTTAAGAAACTGTGATCAGCATGGCATACATGAATTAGGTATCTGTTTGTCTTGTGATAGGCATTTATTAAATATTGTGGAAGTCTCTTTTGCTCCCAAGGACATAAGATGTGGTAGTTAAGAGCAACACCTTTGGACTCAGAGAGACCTCGGCTAAAACCCTGCCCCTGCTCCTAAAAGCTGTATGATTTGGTTCTTTGTTTAACCTTTCTGAACCTTAGTTTCCTTACGTATAAAATAGAGATGATACCTCCTTCAAAGGTTTGTGGTGATGATTTTTAGGCACTTGGTAAATTATAGCAATAATCATGACTCAGTCAGATGTATCATTTTGATAGATCACCTAAACTGAAACATTGGACTAAACCAATGTGTTCTACTTTTTTCTTTCCCTTAGGAAACCTAGTAATGAGGAAGGGTCGCTGTTCCTGTATCAGCACCAACCAAGGGACTATCCACTTACAATCCTTGAAAGACCTTAAACAATTTGCCCCAAGCCGTTCCTGTGAGAAAACTGAAATCATGTAAGTAACAACCCAGCTAACATGCATGCACCATATTGGCAAGAACATTAAATTTAGGATGTTTTACCCTTGGAGTGCTTGCCCATAGAAACACTTAAAAATCAGATGGTTAGCCCCTCCATAAATTTGGGCAGCCCCTTTCTTTTTTCTCCTTAAAAATACAAGGAATTTCTGGTAGATTAGGACCCAAGAATGATGTATTACCAAAGTAACACATGTTTATTGTAGAAAATGTTTAATGCAGATGATACAATAGAATAAAATAAAAATCACTCATAATTCTATCCTCAAGTGACAAATACTGTTAACCCCTTAGTATACAATCTTCTAAATCTCCCTTATTTGCTTCATGTGCATGTAACATAGATATGTATTTACATACACAATATACAAACACAAAAATTAAATCATATACTGTTTTGTAATCTGATTTTTCATTAAAACTATATCATGAACATTTTTTTATGTCAGTAAATCTCTAATAATGTCGTTTTTACCTAACGTCACTTTTATTTTTTTTTTTGATGGAGTCTTGCTCTGTCACCCAAGTTAGAGTACGGTGGCAGGATCTTGGCTTACTGCAACCTCTGCCTCCCGGGTTCAAGCAGTTCTCCTGCCTCAGCCTTCTGAGTAGCTGGGATTACAGGCGCCCACCACCATGCCCAGCTAATTTTTCTTGTATTTTTAGTAGAGACGGGGCTTCACCATCTTGGCCAGGCTGGTCTCGAACTCCTGACCTTGTGATCCACCTGCCTCGGCCTCCCAAAGTGCTGGGATTACAGGTTATAGGTGTGAACCACCATGCCCAACCACCTAATCTCATTTTTAATGGCCTAATTTTATTTCATCATATGGATAAACCATAATTTAGATGACCAATTATTGTTGTTGGAAATAATAGATTATTTCCAAATTTTTGCTGATGAAATAAAACTTATTATGGCAGTAGTGTGACTGTAATTCTTTCCTATGGTACCTTTCTCGAGATTAGAATTGCTAGGTTAAGGGATGTGTGCATGTTTTAAATCTTTATAGATCATCCTTGACCACTCTTTTTCTCACACTATACAGAAAAATTAGAGAAATATTTAAATTATTTCCAGACAGTCTACTGTAAGTAATTTCTAAAATTCAATCAGGGGTGGGCATGGTAGCTCATGCCTGTAATCCCAGCACTTTGGGAGGTTGAGGCGGGTGGATCACAAAGTCAAGAGATTGAGACCATCCTGGCCGACATAGTCAAACTCTGTCTCTACAAAAATTAGCTGGGCATGGTGGCATGCACCTGTAGTCCCAGCTACTTGGGAGGCTGAGGCAAGAGAATCACTTGAACCCAGGAGGCAGAGGTTGCAGTGAGCCAAGATGGCACCACTGTACTCCAGCCTGGCAACAGAGCTCCATCTCAAAAAAAAAAAAAAAAAAAAAAAATTCAACCAGTGGCTCATTTTGTCCTAGGAAATAATTTTAAGTAGTTTCACTAGAAAATTCAGCAAAATTTATAGTTATTTTCATTATTTCTGAAAAAAAGCATTTAAGTTATTAATGAGAAAAAACTGTCTCATTGCTATTTCCTTGGCAGTGCTACACTGAAGAACGGAGATCAAACATGTCTAAACCCAGATTCAGCAGATGTGAAGGAACTGATAAAAAACTGGGAGAAACAGGTTGGTGAAAAAGAGGAACAACATTTTCTTCCTTTTAGAAATTAACTTTGGAAAACAAAGAATCTGCATTTTCATTAACACTATAAGAATACATAACTTTTAAGAATACATTTTTCATTCATATTATGGTGCTTCTATTTTGTTCCTAGGACAAAATTATGTTCCTACATATAGTATCCCCTCTGTCTCCCAGCAGAAGAATGTGTGTTCCTTGGAGGGTACAGAGCTTGTCCTTATTTAATATAATAAATATGTAATTCATTGAATGGTAGACACAGAGGATACAAACATAGTAATGTATAGTCTTTTCCTATTGTAGCAAATATATGCTAATAATTACAGTACAATGTGAGAAATATAAAAGTATGCACAAGAATCTTGCAGATATAGAGGAGGGAGTACTTTGCTGGGGGAACAGGGCAGGAGAAAGTGTTAAGGAAGATTTCTCATGTCAGGTGATATTTGATTTGGGTCTTGAAGGATAAATAATTCGCCAGGAAGGTAAGAACAGTGTGAGCAGAGCAGAGAATCACGAGAGAATTTGCTGTGTTCAGGGAGCTTCCATTAATGTGGCTGGAGTTTGTGTGAAGAGGCTGAAGGGACTGAGGTAGAAAAGTCGGTCAGGACAAAGCAGGAGGAATCCTGCATGGTATGCTAAGGAGTTGGTATGTGAGCGGGAGATCGGGTTCTGGAGTGTGACAGACTGCTGGTTCTGCCACATTAGCTGTCTAGATTTGGGCAAGTCACCCTCTCCAGGCCTCAGCCTCCTCCTATGTAAAACATGGAAGATAACATTACCAACCTCAGAGGGTTGCAGCTGGGGCAGGTGAGTGGTAAGCAAGGTTGCGGGGAGATGTACTAAGCCAGAAGAACAGACAAAAGACAGCCAGTTAGAAGGCTGTTGTCTCCTCCTCAAAGTGAGCAAAGTAGGGAGAATCTAAAGGAGCCCCTCTGAGAGTGAAGTGACTTTAATGTGGTTTTCAGGATGAAGAAAGACCATAATCAGGAGAGTGAGTACAAATATAAGTGAAAATTGTAAGATTCAGAAACATTGCCCTTTTTCCCTTCTCACAGGTCAACCAAAAGAAAAAGCAAAAGAATGGGAAAAAATGTCAAAAAAACAAGAAAGTTAAGAAACTTTGCAAAGTTAAAAAATCTCAACGTCCTCATCAAAAGAAGGCTGCATAAGAAACCACTTCACCAATAAGTATTCTGTGTTAAAAATGTTCTATTTTAATTAAATCGAGATCATTCCAAAGGAGGATGGCATGTAATACAACGCTTGTTAATTTGACTAGAAAATTTAAAACATTTCTCTGAAGTTATAACTAAAGCTAGAAAGTTGATTTTGAGAATCCAAATGTTAAGAATTGTTAGAGGCCATGATTGTCTTTATTCTTCTGCCACCTGCCAACTGAATTTCATCATGCTTAAGGCCGTGATTTTAGTAATATCCATGTCCAGACAGATGCTCAGACAACTGCATCCCACACACAACAGCTGCCTGGAAGAGCAGCCCTAGGCTTCCACACACTGCAGCCTCCAGAGAGTATCTGAGGCACATGCCAGCAAGTCCTAAGCCTATTAGCATAGCATGCTGGTGAGCCAAACAGTTTGAAATTGAGCTGGACCTCACCAAGCTGCTGTGGCCATCAACCTCTGGATTTGAATCAGCCTACAGGCCTCACATATAATGTGTCTGAGAGATTCATGCTGGTTGCTGTTGGGTATCATCACTGGAGATCACCAGTGTGTAGCTTTCAGAGGCCCCTTTCTGCCGTTGGAAGCCATGTGATTCTATCTTGTCTGCTCAACGCTTTGTTATTGTTCCCCTTTGCTTCATTCAAGTCAGCTCTTCTCCGTCCTACCACAATTCGGTGCCTGCCTCCTCTCCAGTGCATATGTTACATGCTCTGATTTATCTGTGTCGACTCCTTTCTCACCTTGTCCCCAACACCCCACAGAAATGCTCTCTTCTCCCTATTCATCCTCACTCAAGCCAGTCTTCAAGGCTTAGTTCAAGTCCTGCCTCTTACATAAACCTTTCTGGACACATATATTATCTTAAAATTCCTATTTCACTTGGGTTCGTTACCACATGGGTGAACAATGAATGGTTAACTAATTCCTGTGTGTTTATCCTAGCTCTCCAAACAGATTGTCAGCTTCTTGAGGGCAAGAACCACGGTTTATTTCTGTGATTCTTCCACAGTGCCTAATAATACTGTGGAATTAGGTTTTCATAATTTTTTAATTGCTGTCATTACAGGCAGGAGGGCAGTCAGACCATTGTCTCAGAGCAGGTGCTGGCTTTTTCTGGCACCTCCATGTTGGCTAGCCCCTGGTTAACCTCTTACTTATTATCTTGGCCATTCACTGCAGGGACCAGGGATGATGTAACATCCTTGTCTTATTATGACAGGATATTTACTTAGCTTCTCCAACAATAAGAAGCACGTGGTAATAATAATAAGGTTGCAGATATTCTGGACTGTTTTTAGAAAATTAGAAAATATAGTTTCCCGAAAATCACAGAATCTTACAATGAAAAGGGCTCTAAGATCTGTCAGTGACCAACCTTTTCCCAACCATACAAAAATTCCTTCAGTGCCATTCCCAGCAAGCTTCAGCTTTCTATGATCCAACAAGATAGCTACCAAGATCATTTTCAAAACTTATTTTAAGCAAATATGAATTTTATTGTCCACTTACTTGTTTTGCAGTTGTATGGTGATTATCAATTACCACACAATCTCTCATGAAGAAAGGGGACAGGGAGGTATCAAGCACTAGAGGGAGCAGCCAGGTCAGTTAGTGGAGGTATGATTGGTGCCCAGTTAGCCTCTGCAGGACATGGAAACCTCTTTCCAGAGAAGGTTCCGTGAATTGTGTAGGAGAGGTTGTCTTTGGCCAGAATTTAAACATATACTCACTTTACCAAATTGTATCACCCCTCACACTGCTGATGATTTAGAGTGCTGCAGTGGACATCCCACCTGAATGTCTTACCTAATCATGAAACTCCCTAGTCCCTTCCATGTAACTTCCTTGAAAAATCTGTTTCATAAATTTGAGAGTCTGTGACCCACTTACCTTGCATCTCACAAGTAGACAGTATATAGCTAATAACCAAAGACCACATATTTTCACTAACACACACATTGTAATCATTTATTACACACACACACACACACACACATATACTCTCAAAGCAAATAATTTTTAAGTTCAAAACAGTATTGACTTGTATACCTTGTAATTTGAAATATTTTCTTTGTTAAAATAGAATGGTATCAATAAATAGACCATTAATCAGAAAACAGATCTTGATTTTTTTTGTCTTGAACATACCCTTCAACTATTGAGTGTTTAATAATAAATCTCATATGTCCTTCTTATTTACATTTTAGCTTTCTCAAATAAAGTGTAACAATAATTGAGATAACACATGAAAGCTCTTTAAAGGGCCTATTGGGGACAGGAATAAAAGTAATGACAACCCTATGGAAAATATGACAACACTGCCTTACGACAACATTGACTTAAAAGAGTTAATGTGGGGCCGGGCAGCTCACGCCTGTAATCCCAGCAGTTTGGGAGGCTGAAGCTGACTTGAGGTCAGGAGCTCGAGACGAGCCTGGCCAATATGGTGAGACCCCCATCTCTACTAAAATTACAAAAATTAGCTGGGTATGGTGGCATGCACCTGTAGTCTCAGTTATTTGGGAGGCTGAGGTAGGAGAATAGCTTGAACCCGGGAGGCAGAGGTTGCAGTGAGGTGAGATCGCACCACTGTACTCCAGCCTGGGTGACAGAGCGAGACTCTTGTCTCAAGAAAAAGAAAAATGAGTTATGTAGAATTCAATCAATTTCCTAATCATCAAGAGTAACACTATTCTAATGAGGTATGTACCCAGGAAGCCAACATGTCTTCTTTTCTATCTCCTAAAATTGTATGTGTTTGAATATTATAAAGCCTCAAGTAGTTACGATGGAGACCCAAACACTGAACAATTTAAGGGTCCAGGAAACTGGGCTGGAGGCATTACGCAGTGTGGAGTCTCTGAGAAGGTTGAGAGTGGAATGAAGAGCATCATCCTATACGCTTGACGGATGCTTTAGAGGCCAGACAGGTGTGATGTTTGGGCAGATTAACAGCTGCTAATGGTAGACATGAATTCTCGCAAGCACCTTCACCTGAGAGGCAGTAGGAGGACTCTGGAAGGAGCTAAGATCCTGGATTCTGAGATATCCTGCTTAGAATCAGTGCCCACTACTTATTAGCTGTGTGACCCTGGTTACAGAATAATATTTCGCCTCACAATGCATCAGTTTCCTAATTCAGGATTGTTGTGAGGAGCAGGCTCAGCATAGGTCCTGGTGAAGAGAAAGTCCTCAATGTTGTCCCAGACCCTCCTTACCCACTTTGCTGCATCTTTATAGCAGCAGATGGATCCCATGTCTCATATAGAGAGAAATGTTTCCAGCACTGAAAAAATCTGTGGGAGAAATGAGAGTAAAAGCCTTGCTGACCAATGTTCAGTATCTATATTTTTATAATCCTACTCTAGGCTATCATTGTCTGTTTTCTGGGCTACTTCAGTAGCCTCCTGTTTTCCCTGTTGGCTCTTATTCTCAGCTTTTCTCTTGCTTCCCTAACTTCCATGACAAACAATAATCTTTGGAAAAAAAAAAATAACTTACAGAATGCCACCACATTGTTTAAAATCCTGCAGCTTACAATTAAGTGAAAACATACCATGAGCTGGCCTCACATGAGCTGGTCTCTGCCTGCTTCTCTGATCATGCTCCCTCTACCCACCTTTGCTGAGCCTTGGCATCATCTATTTTCTGTATGTCTCTTGAGCATACCAAGTTCATTGCCTTCTCGGGTTTTTGCATATGCTGTTCCCCGTGGTTCTGGTTTGTACTACATCAACTTGGTTGGTCTTAGAACTACATTTCCCAGAATCTCCTTCCCTGTGTGCTTCTATGTTAGAGTTAGCCAAAGAAGAACTCATGCGTCACAAAAGTGAAGGAGTGACCCTTAATCTTGATTAGACATTTTGACAAACATGCTGGTAGCCAGTGGATCCCAGCTTGCCCTTGCTCTTTTCCTCCATGTTCAGCTTATGCTCAGGACTGCTGGCCTCATGATCAGTGGTGGTCCCAGGCCCCCCACCAGATATTTGGCAGTGGACCCACAGAGGCAGTAGTTACACAGAAGCAAAAGACCCCATAGACCCTAGCAGCCCCAATTTGGCGCTGAACAGGCTTAACTTCTTGGATTTTCTCACAAGCTCTGATTTGTCCAATTGTCCCAGTGCTTCTGATGGACCAGTCCCTGATTCTTCCTCTGATCCCCTGACTCTACCTTCCAGACATTCATTTCCTGAGATCCTCCCTCATCTGTGAGATCTGAATCCTATAGCAAATCTTTCTCTTCATAATACTCATAGTGGCTCTGCTTCCCTGAAACACCTGGGCCTACGCACACTTCTTTGCATAGCAGTTCTTGCCTCATCACTTAAGTTTCAGTTTAAATGTCACTTCACAGAGTCCCCTTCCCTTATCACCCTTAGCAAAATAGCCACACTTTCTCCAGACTCTCTCTCTATGGTGTGGTTTCCACAGTGGGGTGTGTGTACCTTCTGGGGTTGATGAAATGAAAATATTTAGAAATTACATTTTTGTCTAAAAAATAAGAAAGAACTGAAAATTGACTGTAAATCATTTGTCATGTGCTAATTTCCTGAGGAAAAAGTGAGACCTCCACAACTGAGGGGCAAACACACGACCTCACTCAGTTACTCAGCTTCTGCAGATTGTAACATGCGTTTCCATTTATGTGCGTGTAGTTAAGGGGATTTAAGGATTACAAGATAGAGTGCTCACTCAGCCAACCTTCACAAAATGGGCAAAAGGCTCTAAAAGGCTCTTCCTAAGAAATTCTTGTGGAAGATCATATTAATGATGTGAACATAAACTAACAAGAGAATAAAATATACATAGATGAGATGGGTGTTCTAATTTTAACCAGAAGGGTACACAATTTTAAAAATCTGATGGCTATAGCCTGTTTCATTTTCTTTTATCATGATCATATACAATGATCAAACCATCACAATCTAAAATTACCTTTTTAAAAAAATGTGTGTGCTTATTTCTTCCCCCCTACCCTATCACATGTACAAATTTAGGTTCCTTGCCCATGGAAACTTTGTCTTCCCCACTACTGCATGCTTAGAGCAGTGCCTGACACTTAGGAAGGTCCTAATATGTAATTTTTTAGTTGATTGACATATGCTTCACCCTAAATTTTCATTTAGGTCTTTTTCAAATCAATTTCAACTACTCTTGTCATGCTCATCTCATGCTCATTTCTGCCCTCAGCTTTGCTTGTTCTTTTATTTGCCCTGTCCTACTTTCTACCCCTCATCTATCTGGCTCCTACCCACACAAGATTCAAGTCCCACTTTTCCCATGACTCCATCCAAGAATGCTCCTGGCCACACTGATATCGACCTCCATGCCCTGTCATAAAATGACTTTAACTAGTAAGGATTGTTCTATGATTAAAATCTCCCATTATTTTGCTATACTAGAAAGCAGTCTGTACCTGAACAAAGTTTATACATTAGAGCAATGGATAAAATATTTAATCTGTAAACTGTACTTATGAATTTAGATGCTAGTGGCCAGGTACCATGGCTCATGCCTGTAATCCTAGCACTTTGGAAGGCTGAGGTGTGTGGATCACTTGGGGTCAGGAGTTTGAGACCCGCCTGGCCAACATGGTAAAACCCTGTCTCTATTCAAAAATACAAAAAATTAGCTGGGTGTGGTGGCACACAAGTAATCTCCACTACTCAAGAGGTTGAGGCACAAGAATCACTTGAACCCAAGAGGCTGAGGGTGCATGGAGATCATGCCACTGTTCTCCAGCCTGGGCAACAAAGTGAGACTCTGTCTCTAAATAAATAAATAAATAAAGAAAGAAAGCTAGTGAGCTGTAGGTCAGTTAATTGGGAGAAAGCTATTTGTAGTTCTTTTTTTCTTTTTGAGACAGAGTCTTGCTCTGTCACCCAGGCTGGAGTGCAGTGACACGATCTTGGCTCACTGCAACCTCCGCTTCCCAGGTTCAAGCGATTCTCCTGCCTTAGCCTCCCGAGTAGCTGGGACTACAGGTGTGTGCCACCACACCAGACTAGTTTTTTGTATTTTTAGTAGAGACAGGGTTTTACCATGTTAGCCAGGATGGTCTCGATCTCCTGACCTTGTGATCCACCCATCTCGGCCTCCCAAACTGCTGGGATTACAGGTGTGAGCCACCATGCCCAGCCCTTATTTGTAGTTTCTTTATCCTTACTGGGAAACTGGAAAGTTGTCTTCTTATTGGAAAGGAAGATAAAGGGAGACTACAATCACAGATACTTTAGGTACTGTCTCGTTTTTGGCCTGTATAGAGAGAGGTTGAGATTAACTGAGAAAGAAAAACAGGCAACACTTCTTAATAGGGAGTGGAATTATATCCCAAGTCATCACAAGCCAAGATGTCACTTGAGGCATTTGATATCCCCATTGGTTTAAAGTTCTCAGGAGGGAACTTCAAACTTTTGATGCTACATTTTAAGGAGATGAATAAATCACAAAGGATCAGTCTAATCTAAGTCCATTAATAAGATTATGAACTATGGCAAACTGATAAAAGATTAGAGGGAAAGGCATCAAGTTATACCTAACTATTTGCTTTCTCTAAAAGTCTGCTATACAGATTTTTTCTTTTATTATTTTAAAAATTTTTCTTTTTTTCTTTCTATTCTAAATATTTTTTTCTTTCTATGCATGGGATGTTGATGAATATGCAGATTAAAAAAAATTCTTCCTTTAAATATAATATACTGTTTCAAGTCAACAGTTTTAATAAAGAATTTGTTTTGCTCAAAGCCAAAAAGAAGGAATGACTTGCTGGTATCTCCATTTTCAGAGAACTAAGTCTCGGCCTCTGCTTTCTGCGTACAGTGTAGGACCAAGTAGGTACAGCTATCTACCACCAGCTTTCTTTACCATTGGAGTAGATAACCTGAACTTTCTCTGGAATGAGGAAAATCACATTCCAGAGAATCACAGTCTATTAGGTAAACGATCAATGTCAAAGCATAAAACAGAGAGGAAAATATTGTGTTGCTTAGAAAAAGAAATGCCAGCATTCACTTTTGCAATATCGAAATCCTCAGAATTTACCTCAGGGCAGATGTCTCTTTTGTATGGAGACTTTGACTAGGGAGAGACGGCCTAGGAGTTTTGATGGTTTGGAAGTTA